AATTTCCCCTGGTCTGTAATGCAATATTAATGTAATGTCATACCTCAACCTCACGTGCAGAATTTATCACTGTCATGTTGATATTACTGTTACATGTCTCAAAATGTAGTTTAATGTCAATGTATTGTCATAATTCTGCTACGCAGTTCAATAATATGTCGTATATTAATGTTGTATTTTAATCTGCCATGCAAAGGTTTTATCACTTTCCCATTGACGTTACTGCTCAATTAATTGACTAGTAGTCACGAATTTTCCATGGTAAAATTTGTAAAAAAAATTGCCATTTTTTTACATTAAAAGTAAGAACTAACGTTATTAATACTATATCTTCAAACTCTCACCTGATAAAAATGTTTTTTACGTTGTTAAATTTGCAAAATCTAGACGATTTGGTAATTTCTGTTGTCTAACACTATTCCCCAGTACTGTTCAGATACTGGCGTCTCTCTGTTTTTCACGCGCAAATTAGGGCATATAAAGAAGGTATATAGCATGAAAAGTAAACAGAAAACTAATTGTATTTTTTTACGTTTTATTATGTACAAATAACACACAAATATACTACTAGAAATTCGTGACGTAATCACTTTAAATGTCGTTGGCCAATTTGCCTTGCACAGATTTTATCACGGTGCTACTGCCACAACATTGGCACGCATGTCGACCCATCATGCTGATCCAGCGTATTCGTCCAGGCCTGCACATCCCCCACCTCAGGGACTCGCTCGTTAAGATCATGCAAGACTACAACTTACAGGTGAGACTTGTACCTTTTAATTACATGGTCACCAATGAATTCACTAGGCCAGGTGTGATATACACCTGTTGTATACCTGGTCCGTAGTTCCTCGATAAGCCAGGTGTGATATACCAGATATATATACCTGATCACTTAGTCTGTCAACAAGTCAGTTGTGATATAGACCTTTTGTATACCTGGTCATTCATTCCCTGGACAAGCCAAGGGAGATGTACTAGTTATCACTGGTCACTCAGTCCATCGATAAGCCAAACTAGACGTGTTGTATATCTGTATAGACAGCCATTGACTCACGCGATCTCATGCTGGTTTTAGCTCACCTTGCCATCGTCAAGCTGAGCTATTGCCATGGGTCGTCGTCCGTCGTACGTCCGTCTGTCCGTCCGTCAACATTTGACTACTCAAGTAACTCAGGAACGTTTGACCCACATGTTTGAAATGGGTATAGTTGTTACTGCTATGCTCCCATATTAAACGTCCTATTTTGGAGCACGCCAGTCGACGTACTTTCGAGCCACGCGCCAATTTTTGGCAAAATGGGAATTGCCAGTAGTTCAGGTTCAACGGATTTTGCTCGTTTTTGGTATGTGAAAATGAATAAGGGCTAGGAGTTTGATATTTAAAAAAAAATTATGCAAATTAGGTAGAGTTTGGCAATTATGTATCATATTATATAGACACACAGATAACAAACAGTCTGGTGGTGTCACACTCATCTGATGTTCGTTTTACAAGATTTCATTGACAATATCTTTAATGCAAAAATTCCTGCTATGAACATATTATGATTTATACTATTATTATTAATGATATAATGATTTATGCTAAGAAACATCAAACGGGTTATAGCGCCATCTACCGTCACAAATTGTGATTCATTTTGGTTTATAAATTATTATAATTTATATATAATATTATTTATTATTTTCACATAAAAAATTAACATATAATTATCAAGAGTATATATGGAGTTCTCCATATATACTCTTCGTTTCTATAATGTACCGTCGATGGTTGCTCAATTAAAAACTGACTTCTTCTCACTCACTCATTTGTGTCCTTTTTTGTGGTGAGCTACAGTGTCATTGACACTTTCATTATTGGAACAAGTGGCGCTCTCTCATGGGTAGAGCATCGTAAACTAGCTTCCGTACGAGGGAGGTCGTGGCTAAGTACAGGTGAACAGAGAAGAGTGGCGATCACTGTTGTTTGGGACACATGCATGAGAGTTGGAAATTGCAAATGAATCCGATGAGACAACGTGCACCGGTGCATTCTCGGCTTGTGCTCCTCTGTCAAATTGCTGCTGCAGAACGGCTTATCTGGACGCTGTGGTTTATGCTTTTGTTTTGTCAGAGTTACATAGAATCAATGCGATCATCATCAGTGATAAGAAAACGTTAATCTTTCTTAGCTGGAAGCACATTTGGCATACTGCATCATGCACTATTGAATCATGCGTTTCATAACGGCTGCAGGTAACTATAAACTGGCCTGAGGTCGTATGACTCACACGGCCGAGATCCAGTGAACCGGCAATGATTCAGTCTAGTGAAAATAACCTTGTGGTATTGAATGGCCAAGCTGAATTTCAAGGAATGAAAGCCATACTCATTTGTTTGATGAAATGTTATTAGTAAACGGAGTGGACCGTCTCGTGAATTGCGATTCATTTTAAGGGCACAGCTGTAGTCACTCTCGGTGGTGCTGTGACCAGTTATGCATATTTCAAGTTTTCATGCCTACCTGATTTTTGTTGTTAAATTTGCATTCACCTGACTGCTGTTTTTCATACTTAATGTTGATTAAGAATAACTGCCACAATCCGAGTACCGACTGCGATGACTGTGACACTTTACCGATGTTGCAAATAATGATCAGAGTGACAAAAACCTATTTTTAGTGTGCCGATGGTAATTATTCTGTCCCTAGCTACATTGAAATGAAATAAGCCGTAGAAATTTGTATTCAGGGGGCTGTAATGTAAGTCTTTTGCACATAAATACGTACATCGTTTATGAATGTACATCGTTCATGAAATTAGCGTTCACAAATGGCTGCTATTGAAATTTCTACCTACTTTTCAGTTTTTTTCTTACCGTGTAATCTCAGAAATCTCATTTACCCATGCGAGGGTCGTGCATTGCCCTATAATTCGTGCCACTGATGTGGTTAGTAAGCATCTCCAGGCACGAAATAAATCCATATCGAGTTCAACTATTCAATTAAAACGGGTTGAGGAAGTGTAGTTACTATAATTGGAGAAGCGTAATCGTGTAATGATACTGCAATCATGCCACATTATTTGCGCTGATTGTGCCAAGATTCGTGTGATGCGTTCCATGCATGGTGCTTTCTTTTAAATTGTGCTGATTTTGTGCAGGTAATTTAAATCAAGAAATTTTAATAAGAATTTAGTTTAAGAACATACGACTGAAAATTGCCATCTCTATCAAACTATTCTTGGAGACACTTGCAGTATGATTTTAGGCCAGACATTCACTGTACTGCGGTGTATGGTCTTCTGTATGTCGACCTGCCTCTGCATGCCTGCTTGCCCACTCGTTCACTCGCTACGTTGGATAGCTCGTAATATCCTATACCCTGTACAGACTACGAATTTTAGCGTGCGTCAGACCTGGGCTAACTTAGCCCGGATTTGACGCGCGCTAACTAGGAGCGTACACACTGCATATTTGACCCTACTTTAAATGAGTCATCAGTTCTCCCACCGCTCAGTTCCCTGCTCGCCACGTCACCCCGCAGACAGTGAGGTACAGCGAGGGTGCGTGCGAGTGAGCGTACGTCACCTAAATAAGGCTATGCGCATGCGTATTGCGATTTAGCACCCGGTCTGGCCCGCTTGTTGTGTACCCTATCTTAAGGCACGTTTACACGGACGTTTTTGGCCCGAGCCTAATTAGGCTCGCGCCAGATTTGGCTCGAGCCGAGCGTTCACACGGACGGTTTTTCGGGCCGTGCCAATTTGGCATGAGCCAATTTGGTTCCATCGAAAACGTCGGACCAGGCCCGAGCCAAATTTTAGCACCAGCTTTCGGCGAGCGGTAGAGCGGTAGAATCGGTTGAGCGGTAGATGCCGCGAACAAAAATGAAAATGGCCATCTAAATTCATTCGATTTTGTTAAATTTTGGTATGTGAATGTGTAAGGCTAGCCCTATAATGTGATAGTGTGATGCTTATTAAATGACAACACAAGGAGCGGTATACCGTTACTACAAGTGCAAGTATATTCAAGGCAAACTGGGGTACATGCTGGCTCGCAACTGCTCGCAAGTAACTCTCTAAAACAAGGCCCCCCCAGTTAGGTGGCGCCATCTGGCGAATACAAACGAGATCAATCGATTACTGTGACATATAAACCAGTTGTTACTTCTATGGGAGAGATGACAACGTCCTATTACGTTTATTTTGTCTAACTGGTCAACAACTCTACAATCATACCTATATACGTGTATTATTGTGTTTTAGATTCTTCGTTACAGTAAATTTTACTGGAATATTTTATTGTTTTTATTTGCGCGATATTCGAAAACCAAAATGGCGATCATTTAGGTGTAGCACCATCTCTCGTCAAGATCTCAGACTTTCAGATCTGAAACATTTATTTTCGCATCAAAACTTATGCATATATCATTATCAAGAGTATATAATGGGAGATATGCTATATAATGGGAGTTCTCCCATATATACTCTTGCTTTATATATCCCCCCTCCCTCTTCTATCACACCCAAGGTGAGCTACAGTGTCATTGACACTTTCATTAAGTATGCTTTAACATTGGAACTTTCTGGGAACATAAATTATTTCCCCTTTAATCAGATAAAAAAGCAGTAGAATTGCTCACAAATTAAGTTAACTACAACATAGGTACATCCTACCTTATTTTGACTTGCAAATTTACGTGACACACCACAAGTAGCTTACTAGATAGTAGGGCCTATAGCAAATCTCTGAAATTCTGACGATAATCACTGAAAATTCTATTATAGTCATCCTTCATTTTTGGAAAATATTCGTTTGCTGGAGAACAATTTTGGTATTGATTCTAAGCATCGATCACTCGTGAAAAATATTAGTTGCAAGGCAGAGGACCATGCATTGACGTCATGTTGTTTTGCATCTCAGGTCGCATAGGTAACACGAAGGAGGCTCTGTCCCTCATAACGCAACAGCTGAGAGACGTGGATCGCGCAATCGAATTCTGCAAGGAACATGATGACCGTGAGCTGTGGGAAGACCTGATCACACAGTCTCTTGACAAGCCAGGTGTGATATATACCTACTGTATACCTGATCACCCACAGTTTCTTGACAAGCCAGGTGTGATATATACCTGTTGTATACCTGATCACCTGGTCGTTTGACAAGCTAGGTGAAATATTCCTGTTAATTGCATGGTTGCCCAATCTATGGAAAGGACAAGTAAAACATTTGCTATTAAAATCTCTGGATAAAACAGGTGAGATTCTCCTGTAAATTTCGTGATAAACCAGTCACCAAGCTCGGTATATAAATACCACTAAATATTGTACATACAGGCCGCTTGAAATGTACTTAAAATAATGTTTTCTTTTCCTAAAAATGTTCCCTTCCACGAACAGTCACCTGGTAAATAGTATCGTCATCATTCAAGTGTGTTAAACAGGTCGTGCGGCATCCCTAAGGCTATGGCGCCGCTGTTCAAATATGCCCTTTAGAAAACTAATGCACTGCGCAGGACAAAAACGCTGAAAGCGTATATTGTCGCCCCGGATCTCATCGCCTGCGTGGCTTGTTTACACTTAGCTCTACCTACGTAGCCATGGGCTCTGCCAGAATTCTCTGGTGCAGCCTAGGGCCGCATGAGTGGAACTAGACAAGTTCCCTTCTCGCTTAACACTACGTTGGCGAGAGGTTCCTACGCCGTGTAACAGTCGGAGAGCCTGGTCGGTTTAGGGTGGAACTAGCATAATCTTGGCCACGCATGGTTCACTCAGCCACGTGTGACCTTGTAGCATGATGAGGCGATGTGGCAAGCCTGGCAGCAATCCACGCCCGACGTGGTTATGGCCCATGAAATCATTCTGCACGGGGTCAAGTATGGGTAGCAGCGCACATGCAGCTATTGGGTCCTCTGCTAAACGGGCTTTCGCGGCGCTGTTGGGTGTCCTGCACGCATAATCAATCATAGTCAGTATGTGCATGATACGCACATTGCTCTACCTGTACATACCATCAAGACCTAATAAACACCTTTTAAGGTAAAGTAATAAACACTAAATAATGATACCATACTACACATAGGCCTACCACTCTGTATGTGTACACGCCGCACGTTCTTCTTAATGCCTACAGTTTTATTTGCATATTTCCAAGTGTTTTTACTTGTTAGCACTCCTGTCTGACTTTGTTTAGACTCTGTTTGACATTCATGACAAAGTTAATGGGCAAAGGAACCACCGAGTGAGGGGAACGATGTCACAGTGTAGGTTATGTTCTTGTGTATGTTCTTGCCCCCAACGGCCTGCAATGGTGTATTTATGTTGTTAACAAACATATTCACTTTTCTTTGTAATTTTGTTATGATTAACCTTGCAGTCAATGGCCACCGCCCACCAGTCATGCGTATCATTGTTTCTAATTATTGAGCATTCGTGCAGTAAATTACCCACCTTGTGGATTTAGCACGTGCATTATCCAAATTATGCCATTGCCTTCACAATGGCGACCTATGTATTCAAAATCTATTTATTTCAACTATACATGCAAAGCGTCTATCAACAACGCTGTATTCTCCACAAGTATACTCTGTTGACCCCATGTGGGTTTAAACATTCTTTATCAGGCAGTTTATGACACCAGCAGATTTGTACACGCACGCACGCATGCATGCAGGCACGGGTGCATACACACGCACGCACGCACGCACGCACGCACGCACGCACGCACGCGCATGCATGTATTGTATAAATTAAAAGTAAAAACACATGGCTACCCATGCAGATATAGATGAAAATATATGAATATAAACAAATAGAATGAAGTGTCATTTCTTGTTTTGCAAGCTTTCGAGAACATGTCGCTTTTTCAGGCTTCTGTTGTTTATTCTGTTGTTGTGAAGCCTCGCGATGAGTCATATTTTTCGAAAGCATGCAAAATAAAAAAGGACACCTCATTCTATTTTCTATTCATATACTTTCATATGTATATAGGTAGCCTAATAATCATGGAAAACCTGTAGGGTTAATGTGCCAGGAGCTATTATACTGATGGGATGATACTAGGGTTGATCTAAACGTGAGGGTTAGTAGACAGGATGTGTAATTACAGCCCTAATGGTGAGTATATATTGTCCGTCATAGGCCAGCACTCTGTAGGAATTTATGATGCCTGTGTAATGTATACTCTTTTCCATAACGTACACAATGAAGTGTGAGCTCTTTGGGGATTCGATTTTGCGAAATCACCATATACGTATTAATGTTACAGTTACAGGTGATATACGTATAATCTAACGTACTAGGCCCGTTGTCAGAAACAAATTATTATGACCATTATAAATATAAAATGTTTCCACAACTTTCGTGTGCCATTTCACTTCAAAAATAATATCATAACGACCTTTGATAATATATTATACGTAATATACGTACATAATTATACGTATTTGACAATGTTCCCCTGGTCTGTAATGCAATATTAATGTAATGTCATACCTCAACCTCACGTGCAGAATTTCTCACTGTCATGTTGATATTACTGTTACATGTCTCAAAATGTAGTTTAATGTCAATGTATTGTCATAATTCTGCCTACGCAGTTCAATAATATGTTGTATATTAATGTTGTATTTTAATCTGCCATGCAAAGGTTTTATCACTTTCTCATTGACGTTACTGCTCAATTAAATGTCGTTGGCCAATTTGCCTTGCACAGATTTTATCACGGTGCTACTGCACAACATTGGCACGCATGTCGACCCCATCATGCTGATCCAGCGTATTCGTCCAGGCCTGCACATCCCCCACCTCAGGGACTCGCTCGTTAAGATCATGCAAGACTACAACTTACAGGTGAGACATGTACCTTTTAATTACATGGTCACCCAATGAATTCACTAGGCCGGGTGTGATATACACCTGTTGTATACCTGGTCCCATAGTCCCTCGATAAGTCAGGTGTGATATACCAGATATATATATACCTGATCACTTAGTCTGTCAACAAGTCAGTTGTGATATAGACCTTTTGTATACCTGGTCATTCATTCCCTGGACAAGCCAAGGGAGATGTACTAGTTATACACTTGGTCACTCAGTCCATCGATAAGCCAAACATAGACGTGTTGTATATCTGTATAGACAGCCAAGTGTTTACCACTTCTATCGGCGCAGGGCTTTAACATAACCCATTAGCCGCAATAAAGGCATATATTCTATCATATATCGCTATCAAAATTACTTATTATCACATTTAGTGTTTAATGTTGAAAATAATTTTCGCAGCCTAAAAGGGTTTCTTCTAAAGAGAAAAGAAGCACAAGAGAAAAGAAACTTTACAATATTACATTCATTTGAACGTGAAACCTTGATCTTTCTCTATGTCCTCTACGAGTGCTAGGTTCACACGTCCAATCTTCGCCGTCGCCGTCTTAATGCTACTCTTCTCCTTTGCGTCGTCACTCATTCGCTTTCTCTCGCCCTTCTCAACATTCGTGGAACTACTGTCGCGTGCTGCAGAGTTTGGCGATCTCTCTACATCTTTTTTCTTCGAGGCCGTCCCGTCACTGTCGATATTACGATACGTTTCGTCCTTTTCCTTTGACTTCGTATCCAAATTCGCTGCGTCAACAGTGATATCTGCTGAGCTTAACTTGCGACGGATTCTCTGGACGATGAGGCGTATGAAGAAGATGACAATGAGAGGTAGCGGAGTTACGATGCCGCAGATAACTGGTATAGAGGCGGCAAGGTCTGCCTCCGGCTGTGGAAATGTGGTTCGTAGCAGTACTAGTGCGACGCTGATATTCTGGAATCCAGTCTCAATGGCGATGGTCTTCACGATGGGCCACGGACGGCAGGTGATCAGAGCTACAATGCCGCCAAGCGCAAACCCCGACCAGGGCAGAAGGAACGCGACAGTGGTAATAATGGGCGAGACGATATAAAAAACGTACAAATTGGCATAGATGCCCACGGCATACACGCTTATGATCAGTACCACACAAACAGGCTTGAGAACGTAAGTGATAACTACGGCCCATTTAGGTCGGAAAACACTGATACCGAATCCAAGTAGAACAGGGCCGAGCATGTACGAGAGACCTATGATGATGCTGACGAAAGGAATGCGTAGGTTTGTTCCTCTGGTGAAGTTCTTGCCCAATACTGCCAGCCACATTGGCATGGTTCCTGAAAATTGTTTCATTAAAATAATGATTAAAACCCCTCCGTTGGTCTTGTACTTTATTTAAAGTAACTGTCAACAGTTTTGCGTATTAACTTAAATCACAACATTACCGCGATTAAATCTCTAGAGACGCATTTACCTATAAGCTGACCAGAAAGGCTGTGCACTCACATTTCGTACAATAGAGGGAGGTATCAGCAACCGAAAGAAGTGTATATTTAGTTTGAGATCAGTATTGAAGCAACGACAAAGATGGACGCATCAGATAGAGTCGGACCGAAAGCAACGGAGCCCATGGGACAGAGACAAACAAAGAGGACCACACTAAAGACATATCTAGGGCACGTATTGGGACGCTAAGAGATGGCTTAACCAAAGGAAACAAAGACACGGCAAGGATAGATATACCCAGCGATGATCACACCAAGAGGCGCAGGATTCGCAGTAGGATGATCGAGACCACCGGAGAGGTTCGTACCAAGAGCAACAGAGGAAGGGAGGACAACATGTGAACATACCATCACCAGACAGCCGATTGCATGTGTTATTCTCGAGAGCCAACTTGAGTACGCAGCAGTACTTAATGAACAAGCTGCCAATGACGCGCCCCGTCGATACACAGTGAGGCCGTGAGAGGAAAGAAGAGAACATAGGTCGGTGAAGCCTAGCATCTTGTACCTACCGAGTGTTAGCACAGTGTTTAGCAGCGTCATCGCAATGCTGAGGGTGATGTCACCGTCCAGTAGAAAGGTAAAGATGTTACTCAGTCCACCACCGGGACAGGTGCCCACCGTTAGTAGACCCAGCTTCCACGACGTTCCTACAGCCACCGCACATGCTAAACCAAACGTGACCTAGAATATGCGAAAAAGGAGCACCAGCGTAAATAGCTACTTATAGTGTTAAAGTATAATATCATTTTCATTCTTATATGATTTCGACAGGTTAGATGTCGTAATAAACTAATAACTAGTGTAACCATAACGGATAAACCTAGCAGGTGTCATACATACGAATGATAACACTATTGAGCTTTGTATTGCTAGTTATACTCACTATTAGTCTCGTAACCTCTGCAATAATATCTCTCGTATAAACTACAGTATTATATGAAGATTATGCATCAGGATGTATTATGTAAAGATTATTAACGATGCATCGTCATATAAATGTACACCGCGGGCAGTTCAAGTTTATTGCACAGGCCTATTAATACAAACTAACCTCGTAACTCTCATGTGACGCCGCTGAAGATACCCTGTACACATACACACACACACACAATGGTAGCAAGTAATCAAGAGCTAATAATACCGCTCTTGGAGTAATGAAGTGTAATTATACTTTATTCCCTGCGTTTAAATTCGGCGGCGATTACAAATCTTGGTTTAATATGTTGCCGCGAAACTGAGGAATTTATCGTGTAAGCTCTCGCTGCATACAGTGTCAATAATAATAATAATAACAATAATAATAATATAATGGGTAAAAGAGTGGTCGCTACGGTAAGCTAATGAGATTACTTCCATATAGGGTCAATCATGAATGATTAACTTGTTCTCCTCCTGCAAATACTGATATAGGTACCCCTGTGTGATAAAGATTCCCCGTGTTTGGCGCGTTAAAATTGGCGGTTCCTAACAGATCTGTCCTCGGTGAGGTAATAATAATTTACCGCCGAATATGTCCTAGGTGCGCGCGGTAACAATAAACAACCATGCGACACCATCCGTCTCTGCTTGCTTCCAGGGAGCGATGTCGTGCACTATCTGTCACACTCAGTCGAAGAGGGCGCCAGGGTCGTCTAGTGGACTCTTCTCCCCGTGATTAGCCGTGATCGATTCGTCAGATTTCATTCCAGAGCGGATGGCTGTGGAAACCAAGCAATTCACGAATCGGCAATTGGGACTTTTGTGGGGAAATCTATCGTTGCAGCAGTGCTTCTGTAACTGCAGCCGATGCGGACTGCGTGGTTTCTCTGTGATGGCAGGCTAGCACCAGCAGCGTTTTGCGGAATAGTCTTGTATATAAGTAGGTTGCCTGCTCCAATAATGTACGCGTTCCTATTAAATACGGGAAGAATTAGTTTTTGGGCTTTGTTGGCGCTTTAGTGCTGATGTTGATTGTAATATGGGCAGTGCAGTACTATAAACATTGTTTATTAATTTACTCAATAAATACGTGTTATATAAAAAAAATTTTTCCCAATAAATGAATATATATATATACATTTCGCGGCATCTGTTGTGTATATTCTGTACGTCTGCACATGCACAATGATTTGATGTAACATATAACAATATACTAAGGCAACTTATACACACGTCGTGAACTACTGTGGTTTCTAATATAAGCGGTACTCTCGCTTTTTCATATCGCGGTTCTCCAATGCGTTGGGGGGGGGGGGAGTGGGCGTGTTGTTTCTCATATTTGGTTCTGATTCCACACCTTTGTGGATCGCGTTGCTGGCCGCGTGTCCTGTTTTATTACGTGCGTACGTCAAGAGCTAGCCGAAACCAGTTTGTAAATCTATGTCGGCCATGTAGAGAATTGTTATTCTGTTGACCTTTCTCCAACATAGTACTTTTTGATCATGAGAGGTGATAATGAGTGTGATGTGATAGGTGGTTTTTCGTATTTGTCGTTTGTTGATGTACATTGACAATCTTAATCATATTGTAAATAACACCATGCGGCGATTTAATAAATAAATTCGTCCAACCTGGTATAATTTACAAAAATCTGTTTTGTGAATTACTAGTTCACTTCCCGCTATAGAAATCTGTATTTTCCTAATCCGTTAATGGTACAGAGGGTTGTCGTCGTCTCTCTTGTAAGTATTGCTGCAGAATGGGTGTCTGTTATTTACACACGGTGTCCTGTGATTAATTTGATGTAATGTATTCGGAGATTGAGTCGTAACCGTAGATTCCGTCTCTCTCTGCTCTCTCCGTACTCTCTCTCTCTCCATCGTCTCATTCTTCCTTCTTCACTCTCTCTCTCTCTCTCTCTTACTCTCTCTTCTCTCTCTCGTCTCTCTTCTCTCTCTCCTCTCTCTCTCTCTCTCTCTTCTCTCTCTCTCCTCGATCTCCTCCATCCTCTTCTCATCTCTCTCGTCTTCATCTCTCTCTGTCTGTATTTCCGTATGCTCTGCTTCTTCTCTCTCTCGGCTCATCTCCTTCTCATCTCTTCTCTCTCTCTCTCTCTTCTCCCTCCTCTCTCTCTCATCTCTCTCATCTCTCTTCTCTCGCTCTCTCTCTCCTCTCTCTCTCCTCTTCTCACCTCTCTCTCCCTCTCTCTCTCTTCTCTCCTCTCTCTCGTCTTCCTCTCTCTCTCTCTCTCTCTCTCTCCCTCTCTCCTCT